TTTTCAGCTGTGCTAACATAATTGCACAAGGGTTTTGTAATCATCAATTAGCCTTTTAACACGATTAGCTAACACAATGTACCATTAGAACACAGGAGTGAGGGTTGCTGGAAATGGGCCTCTGTACACCTATGTAGATATTCCATTAAAAATCAGCCGTTTCCAGCTAGAATAGTCATTTACCACATTAACAATGTCTAGACTGTATTTCTGATTAATTTAATGTTATCTTCATTGAAAAAAACAGTGCTTTTTTTCAAAAATAAGGACATTTCTAAGTGACCCCAAACTTTTGAACGGTAGTGTATGTAAAGGCTTGAAGAACTTAACCTGCATCATAATTTAAAAACCTGATTTTAAATAATATTATACAATCTAATTGAAATGTAGAGGAGTACGAAATGAGGGCTACTCGAGTTGCATGAAGTGTTCAGTTTAGAGAGAACAACTGGAGTTTACCAAGACTGGAATCAACTTCCAAGTGTTGAAACATTGGGAGCTTTTGTTCATCTGCAGCTGTGGCTTTGCTGATTGATAACGTTTGTATGGGAGAAAATAAGAAGATAACATTTTGTGGGAGAAGTTTGAGCTGCTTAAAGGAACATGACCAGGAGCAGCTGTCAGTGTCTTAAATCATCAGTGCTTGTTTTTAGTCTGTGGACCGGTCCCCCACTCTTTCAAAGTTTGTAATAAGTACCACCTCACTGTGGAGATCTGGCTTAAGTTGGCTGAGTTTATGCCACAACACTACAGCGCAGTACGGAGGTCTTGACCACAGTTTTGACCCAATGTGAGCGTCTGTGCTCCAGCTTATAGTTGAGTGTGAGGAGGATTTAGACAAAGATGATAAGAGTTGAGCGTTTCTCCTTACAAGGAGAGAGAGGAGTAGTAAATCATGTGCATTAACCTTAAACCTTCATCTTCCCTTGTTTGAACTTTTTGTTTGAACTGGATTGACTGCACAGCTTCTCCGAGAGAAACGCTGCTTTCAGGATCATGGAAATACTCATATTAATGTTGTCATATTGACAGTTGAATCTGTCAACGCTGTGAATTCCTGTCATGCAGCTCTGTGATCAGCGTTTGGATTACACTATGTTTTGTGTAAAATGTACATTATTGTTGGAGATGATGAATAAAGAGATCTAATTTTACACTGACGTACTTCTGCTGATTCAATTCCTGCTTCGTGCTAAAACTGCTACTTTTACTTATGTGGTAAATGTGGTGACAGAGGAGACGGGATATAAAGTGACTCAGACAGCATCCCAAAAAAAGATGTTGCAGCTGGCAGGAAGAAGAAGAAGAAGAAGAAGAGATTAATGTGAAAGATGTGGTGTCATCATACGACCAATGTTTGCTGATATAATATAATGTAATAGAAATGTTGATCCTCCTGTAAGTCACAGTCCATTAACTTGTGATTTCTTAATAAACCTATTTAAACTGGGAGTCATGATGTTGTCATGCTGACGAGTGGCCTGAGCTTTTGCCCTCAGTAGGATTAAACGCAATAGATGTTCTTCTTCTGATGTAGAAACTTGTTTAACGCAATAGAACCAGATATATTGCAGGAGTTTATGTGCATGATAACATGCTGTGGGACTCATTTGTTTATTAGTATCTGGGGGCCACTGACCAAGCGGGGAAGTGGTTTGGCAAACGTGTTTGTTACAAACTTTCCATTCTGATCTGTCTCTGAGTCATAAATGACTGACACTGTGGTAAGCACAATTGCGTCGAACAGATGAAAACCCCTCATGTTTTATGGTTTTCTGCAGTTGACCTAGGCTGTGAGAATTCATGTATTCTACTGGAGTCACACACTTGACGCTGCTGTGAGTGTGTTCTGTAATGTTCTGCAGTGGAGTGTCACCATACACTGTCTTGTGGCAGAAAGCAAAGTCAGCAAAAGAAATTACAAATATGATCTCCCAAAATGGCCCATACTGTACTCCCACGTCTGGGTTGGTCACTCTTTCTGTTCCTTTATTTTCATTGTCGGTAATAACTATTCTGTCATAACAATGACATGGACAGTACATATGAAGCAGAGGAACTGACTGTTTCTAGGTCAGCAAATAGTGACCTTTTGTCACATTGGCGGTAAACGCAAACCAGTGCACAAAACTTTGGTTTAATTTCTCTGTGTGTGAAGTTGTGATAGAGTGAGGAATGTGAAGCATGTGCACTGGTTGAATAAACCTGTCAGAGGACGTTGAAAATGTTGTGCTGCGAAAATGATCAAAGGAATATACAAGGAAAAAACTAACTAATGAATAATTCTTAGCTCAATTAATAATTCTAATTAATGAATTATTAATAAGCCTAATTTGCAGATACATCCTGGGGCATGTTTACTGTCACTAGGATAGGATCTCTACAGCCCATCAGACACTGTTAGTGTGCTGTCTCAGGTTTAGGTCTGTAAGTCTGTACGTTGCCAACCATCCACCATGCATTGCACTCACATCTTGACAGCAGCTGTTTTGTCGGCTAATGCTGCTGTAACATTTATACCAGTTCCATTCACAGCAGTCTGCTGTGGTCCTATCCCAGATTTGGTAAAACACTGTACAAATGACCCAATGTCTTCACAGAGTGATCATTTAATAGAATAATATCTACCCTTTGTCATTAGTATAAATTCTGTTTGTATAAAATGTACACAACTGCAAACTAGTCAAATGTATCAGAACACAGCTGCTGTGCTCAGATGACCTGAAAACAAGTAGGAATTAGATTTGGCTGACGAGGCAACAATACAAATAGTAACTGAAGTTCCTTAATACTGACTGTAACCAGGAACTTCAGTTCAACACACTAGATACTCCCAAAGTTATGCATCGACATTTTCTGCTTCTTTCCTCTTTATTATTATTATCTAAAAGCAAAATTATATATAATACACAAACACCCAAATTAAAAAGCATGGACCCACAAGCATCATTGTTCGGAGATCATAGACTTTAAAAGGATTGATCAGTGTGCGTATGTTCTTTGCACGTTCAGGCACACTGAATTAATCTTCCTCATCTTTTTATTCTTTTATTCTTATGTCCGTATGTGTATCTAGTCCTGCAGCTTTGCCAGCACATACACAAGAAAATACATAAAAACATGCAGCTTGATCAGGAATAGTGTGCTATTACTTTTCTCATGGGGATACCTTTAATAATTTTGTCAGATTTTTCCCCATTCATTCCTTATGGCAGTTTTTCATGAATTTTCAACTATTAACTACTCATTCATACATTCACATAGAAACTTCATTCAAACTTTAAAATTTTCATGACAAGTAGGACTTTTTGCCATTAATTCAGCTTTTTCATATCTTTAATACTTTTCACACAATCAAAGTTTAAAATTAATGAAAATGTCAGTCCTTCTGAGACTTTTCCATTAGTGTGTATTGAGCCAACAGTCACAGTGAAGAGAGGCTGTAAATTAATCATATAAAAATATTGTCTTCAACTTGCTCTCACAGCCCCAGTTGTCACTCCACATACATAATTTGTACATCAAAATGTAGGAATGCTTGTGTCGGTCACAGACATGTAACTGTGGAAGCAAACAGACACTTTTGTCTTTATGAGCTTCCAAGCGACAGGAGCACCAACCAACTGCTGCATTAACTGGGTGCTACAAGCATAATCATGAGAGGTGTGCCTCAGCTAAAATCTCTATGAAATGTCTTGACCTAGGAGACACAGCAGGTACCATCACCATGGCAACCCTTAATTGCAGTTGGGAGCACACAGCTGATTAAGATGACCTTTAACACAGTGTGACACAGCTTGCTTCTAATATATCTTCTCTCTCTATAACGCACCAAGCATTCAGACACACATAGTCTAGTTTTATATAAAACTGTAGCTTGTATTCAATAATTTATGAATCATTATCATTATACTGTTCGATAAATTCAATGCCAGTTCCTTTTATGAAGGTCTGAGATGGTGGGTGGGATGATTTCCTTCTGAAATCAATGACCAGAAGGAAATCATCCCACCATTATTATTATTCCACACAGTGATTTGACTCATTGTTAACTGATAAAATATTGATGAATGCAGCTTTAATAATGAATATTATATTTAGGTTTTTTTCATGAATAAATTATATTTAATATTAACATGTTTTGCTCGGAAATAAACAAAATCATCAAAAAACATTCATTAGATTTCATTGCTGTCTAGAGTTAGTCTATTAAGACAACCGTCAGTAAATGTGATATCACAAACCTGTGTTTTGCATTTTGATTACAGCATGTAGTAGCATACCTGCTGTAGATATCTGGTCTGTCCTTTATCTGTCAGCACAGATGGGTGCAATAACAGATCAGTTGTGTTTGAGTAGTAAACATAAATATTTGTCTCAGGTGTGGGGGTGAAAGGAATGTGGAGATGGAGGGCAAAGACACAGTCTGTGGTTTAGACTCATAATTGAACCGTGATACATGGACACATAGTACTGTTCTAACAACAGGGAAGCAAAAAGCCATTGACCCTGAAGCAATAACATGGGACAGTTATAGTGATAGTTTTGTTCAGGGTGAACTACCTCTGTGTTAAACAGTAGCCGGACCCTATAAATATGATTGAGTGTGAAGACCACTTCTTCACATCCTCTCTGAACAGCTGTACAATTTACCAGCAGACATTTTGGCTTGAGGTCAACTGGCTGCTCTTGTAATCCTCATTCTTCAGAGATGGATCATCGTAGCCACAGGGCTGACTCATGCGCTGTGTTAAAAACTGTTGGAGCTCTCAGAGAACAAACAGAGTCTGCCGTGGGACTCGGCCGAGCACTTCTCAGCCTCTGAGCGCTGGCGCTTCACATTTGGGACGGAAACTCTTGATGAAAACTTGAATATGGACTACACAGCGCTGCTGCTGAGCCTGCTGCTGCTCAACCTCAGTGGAGCAATTTGTGCTGTGGTGCAATGGACAGAATTAAATGAAGCAAAGGTAAGATGATAGTTTGCTTTGTAATTTGTTTAAACCTGCATTCACAAGATGCTTATCTCAACAGTGAGTGTATATACGAGAGCTTTAGCGTCATCCTCTGCATTCACAGGCCTATTTGAGGCAGTATGGCTACTTGAATGACCCCGCTGATCCACAAGACCCTCATTACCTGGAGGAGATCATTGAAGCTCTCAGGTAAAACAGACAAGTGGAAACACAGCTTGCAACTGACAGTGTGTTAATGCCATAGCACATTTTATATATGAGGGTCTGCTGGAGCAATAAATACAGTGGAGGAGGATGTGAGCAGCCCTCCTTGTATTTTCAAATCAGTTTGCAGATGTTTTTCTTGTCTCTAGGGTTTTCCAGACGGTCAATGATCTGCCACCTACTGGAGAATTAGATGAAGCTACTATGGATGTGATGAGACAGCCCCGCTGTGGCTTGGAGGACTCCTTCAACAAGAAATTTCATAAATACAGAGTAATGGGTGAGTTAAGAGACAATCTTTAGTTTCTCTTCTCACAAAACTGTCAGCAAGTATTTTATTTGCATTCGTGCATACGCTTTGAGGCTTGTTATAGGTCTGTTAATGTCTTTAACAGCACATGTCCTGCAGTGTGAACGTTAAAAGAGTTTGTAGCTGTTAGTTTGAGGGTGAGATGTCACAAATTGGTAATGTCTGGAACAATGTCTGGACCTTTAAAGCTTTGTAGAAATTGTTGGATCTCTGAAGGCAAAAACTTTATCTGCTCGATTTTAACCCGTATTAGACAGACTGCTGAAATGTTCCACTCTGGAAAATGTAAATACTGGTGATTAAATATAAGCACTTGAGCACTGAACTCAACTCAAGTAGCAGTATGAAGTGCCTTATTTAAAGTATATTTACAGAACATCAATAGATATGATCATTTACGATGTGACAATAAAAACAAAACAACTAGAAAACTAGGTACTACAAAATAAAAATAAAAATGTTTTCAAAAACCAGATATGAGACTTTTAGTGAGGCAGACAGTTTTATTGAAGAAAAGGATTCTTCTACAGCAGGTCGTTGGAGAAAGAGGAGTCTGACCTATCGCATCTACAACTACACACCGGACATGAAGAAGACAGATGTCACGAGGGCCATAACCTCGGCCTTCAAGTACTGGAGTGATGTGACTGCTTTGACCTTCAGAGAGGTCCACTATGGCAGAGGAGACATAAGGATCTCCTTCCATAAGAGAGATGGCTACTGCCCTGTCCCATTTGATGGCCGTGGTTAGTCCCTCTCCACTCGAAAATCACTTGTTCTTCTTGACTTTGACAAACTTTTTAAATATATTCTTTCACTGTGAATTATTAACTACTATTGGTCTCAGTGTCCTCTGAAACACTAACTCATACTGTTTATTTGTACCACCTGCAGGTCATGTACTGGCTCATGCTGAGTCACCAGAATCTGGTATTGTCCATTTTGATGAGGATGAGTTCTGGACTGAGGGATCATATTATGGTACTAATCTGCGTATTGTAGCTGCCCATGAAATCGGCCACGCTCTGGGCCTGGGTCACTCTCAGTTCAAAAGCGCTCTGATGGCGCCTGTCTACTCTGGTTACCGTGCCAACTTCAGGCTGCATTCAGATGACATCAGAGGCATTCAGGCGCTATACGGTGAGTACGTCAAGGAGGACCGGACTGGATCAGAGCGGTCAATTTGATATTGACTGTGAATTTGCATAAATAAGTACCTGTGACTCCTACACTGACATTCATGTGGTCTCTTCATTCAACTGATAAAGTAATATAATATGTACAGTATATAATATACAGACGAAGCTCTTAATAAGACTTATATGAAGAGTTATACTGGTCCTGTTTGTGGTTTGTAAATTAGAGCCTGACAGATAAATCTATTTTTATACGCACCATCGATGATACCATTAAATAGTTTTTTTGCAATTATGAAACATGTACTCTTTCCACTATGTGCTTTAAGTGACCAACATATATTATCATTCTGTATTATTAATTAACAATGATGCTGGGCTATTGTTTACTCATTTTATAATAAGGTATAAATAGATGAGATGTTTATCAATATGTCTGTTGGTCAACAAGACGTTAAGACGTTTTAATATACAGTATATTTAACATAAGTTTTATGCCTAGAGTTCATTATCTGATAGCTGACTTTCCTTTATTAGAGGTCTGAAGCACCCTAATTATTATTTAACCTACATGATTGTTGTAACACTCTTTGATCCACAAGGTGTCTCTTGTTTGCATAAAAACCGTGTTCAGGTAGTTTTCAAATGTCAAAAATTAGTCCAACATTCATCCTAAAACTCTGTTTACAGGCAAACGCATTACCAGCACTTTAGCCAGTCCAACAACTGCAGACAGTTTGTTTTCCACAGTGAGCAGCCACAATACTGAGAGCATCCCTGACCCCTGCACTGCCACACTGGACGCCATCATGTTGGGTAAGTTATAGATTAACTGTTGTGAGAGTGATGACTGGACAAGCCCCATCTGTGTGCATTGACACAATACAGAATATTGTATTTGATAGATTTGCAGTGAATTAGCAGTGATTGAGCTACAATAAGGATCTGAAAATTTTGTCTTTTGACATGTACGTTTTCAAACACAGTGGAGCTCTAAATATTCCAAATGCCTGTATTTGACAACCTGGGAACGAGACTCAACAACGTCAACAACTCAACTATCTTTCTTTGATAATTTTGCTTTGAACTCTGATTGGTTGTTTCTGTTTTAGACGTGGTGTATTCTTGCAAAATTATTGATTGTCTGTCTCATGTACTGTCAGGATATAGAGAAGGTTTCAGCAAATATGACAATAAGTTATTTAAAAAGTATGACAGGTTTACATTATCTTGTCCTTCTGTCTGTGGGAGGGGAAGGTGATTATGTTAAACTTTTTGAATGGGCATCAACATATCAATATTTGCTTTGTTTTTTTTTAGGACACAAAACGTGTGACACATAGTTTAGTATCTCACTGTATGTTCAATCAGGTCCATGGAGGAAAACCTTTGCCTTCAGTGGTGATTATGTGTGGACCATCTCTGATCTGGGACACAACACGCCAATGAAGATTGACAGGCTGTGGAGGGAACTCCCTGGAAACCTGAACGCTGCTGTACACTCTCAAAGAACCAACAAGACATACTTTTTTAAAGGTACAGTTGTTGTTCTCCAGTACTTTATACCTTCTGCTCTTCAGTGAGTCTTGAACTTGAAAATGTTTGTACTGTTTCAGGCAATAAAGTGTGGAAGTATACCAACTTCGTGCTGGACTATGGCTACCCCAAACAGGTCAAACGGATCCCTCCTAATATCGATGCCGCCTTGTACCTGGAGAAGAACAAGAAGCTGGTCTTCATCAAGGTATCTATGATCAAAACATGAGGAGCAGCAGCTTTAATCATGGCCACATTTGCAGAAATCCTCCGTTCTTACCGCTTATTTCTTTGTAGGGTTCAGAACACTGGCAGTGGGATGAGCTGAAGTACACCGACTTAAGTCTCTACCCCAAACCGCTGTCTATGCTCTTCAGCGGAGTGCCATCTAGTCCAGATGCAGCCTTCACCTGGACCAACGGCAAGATCTTCTTCTTTAAGGGCGACGACTACTGGCGCTTGAATGAGATACTGAGAGTGGACAGAGGATACCCACTGAGCAAGAAGGAGCGCTGGATGCGATGCTAAGGCTCGACCATCAGGGGGCAGCAGGTACCAAGAGGTCTACGACAGGGGTGCTGGTTCTACTCCGGGGGCATTGACAACCAGGCAACCTCAACAGCAGTGATTGTGTGTCTTATCATCTACCACGTTGAAAGAAAACCTAGTGTGGGAATTGATATTACTTTACTGGATCTGATTTAACCAAGCTACTCCTGCCCGCCGCAGCAGGCAACATTTTTGTGAGGCTTAGTTCTTGAGCACAAATGTGTGTTTTTGTGACTGCGAGGATTATGTAAGCATTTATATGATCTCAGGGAGAAATCAAGGGAGGCCTTCTGTTTTTCTCTCTAACATATGTGTTGGATTATGTGTCTTAATACTTGCAGCAAGATGTAATATGATAAAGGGAGTGTGCACTTTCTGTTCAGACATTTTGTTCAACCAGTCATCTTTTCATATATGTTTAACCAGTCGCCTTTCCTTTAATGCTACTAAACATGTCAATTATGTCATGAACCACACTCGTCTGTGAGAAATAATGTCTGTGTCCTGACTCTCTTATGTGGAAATGTAGCATTTTCTACAATTAAACAAGACATGATTTTGCCAGTAAAATTGCCTGATTTCAATTCCCTGTCACCAGAGAAATGGCTCACCATTCCCACAAAGAGGATAGAAAAATATTTAATGTTCACTATGATGAAAGGCCAGTCTGTCCTGCTTTGTGTTGTGTCTGCAAAAAAAAAAAAAAACTTTAGAGGCGCTATGGCAACCCCGACCAGTTGCAGAGTAGGAAATCCTCCCCATGACCTCTTTCTTGCCTATGAAAAATCTGGTGAGTAATGCTGCCAGTGTTGCTAAGAGCCTGCATAGACAAACAGTGTAATTTATCTGACTCTGAGTCAACCAATGAGCAAAAACTTGTTTTTGTATCAAACACATTTATTTATCTTTGAAATTTCTATCAACAGGTATGTACAGATTCAGGTAACAAGTGCATTGTCCCTGCAAAATCCAAACAAAAAAAATGAGAATTATTTAAAAATCTACAAATTAACAACAAACATGCTTTGTTTTTTGTCCTTTTCCCCCCAACACTACCATATAGTTGTTCATTATATAAATTAAATTATAAAACGTTTACTCCACAAACATACAACAGTCTATATTCTTCACCTACTGTTTTCTGTCAGGAGCTACACTGAAATGATCCTGCTAAAAGCTCCTGCAAAGAGCTTTTAAATACAAACTGCAGTTTAGTTTTCATTTAGTTTTTGCTTCACTTATTCATACTCCATGTATCCAACTACATGTCATATCTTAACTCTCTCACCACCTAAATAAAAATACACAAAAATGAAAGTCATTTTAATGAAAAACGTTCACAAATCCTACGACCACACAGTTAAACAGTAAGACAGGTAATAACACAACACTTCATGGCAATGACTAACTTTTTAAGTACAGTACATGTAATGTCAAACAAATTGCTTTGTCGTGTTCACTACCAAAACAGAAATATATCTGTTTTTTGAGGCTCGTACTTGCTGTATGTATTTAATACACGATGAGAGGAAACTGAGGACCTTATTTTGTTAGTATCTGGTTTTAAGTGTTTCTCTGAGAAACACAGTGGTTGCAGTGGTTATAGCTTCACACCTCTTTCTTCTCCCCAAAAAAAAGCAGCAGTCTCTTTCTCTGAACACCCAGTACTGACACACTCACAGGAAGAAATCCTTCCTCGCTCCAAATCGATGAAGGGCATAAAAAACCCTTAGCTGAGGGGAGCAGGTTATTAGCTCTACTCTACATTAAGAAGACACCGTTGGAGAACTAAAGAGGACTAAGAAGTCCCTTCTTGTCTCTGTTTTGCTCAGACCCTGACGACTGGGGTTGTAGCTGTAAGGGGCGCGGTGGACCCGGTGTCATAGTCCAAGTCAATCATGGTGTGGTTGGCCGTGCCCAGGCTGCTAAGGGAAGTGCCTGTGCCCATCTGTCTGTCCCGCAGACTTTGCAGGTAGCTCTGAGAAGAACAACACAGGGAGAGATGAGTGAGGTACACAAAAATGGTGGGTTTAACTTCACAATGATTTTTATGGCATCAGTATCTGCAGCACACGCCCTGTTGGGTGACACTGACCGGTGCCAGTAGATCCCCAGCGTAACGTTTCACTGGGGTGGGTTTACGGCGGTACGTGCCTTCCTGCCCACCTGCCTGCTGTCGCTTCTTGGCGTCCTTCTCTCGAATCCGCATCAGCTGAACTCTCTTCTGTCTCCGACTGATAACGACTACAAGGAGAAAGGGGCATTGAAAGGCAGCCTGTTAACATCACTTCATCATGAATCAAATTACAGTAATAATGGACAGACAATGAGATACAGTAGAAATAAAGTGTCTTTGTAACATCTGCACTCATATTAATCAAATAAAAAAGACATTTTGGACTTAAAATAAGTAAAAATCCTTCACGTTTACCCAATTTATCAAAGTCTTCAATTTAAGAGAGCTCCACAGATGTGTTCTCGACACCTGTACCAGCTAGATTTTATTTCCTCCTTCAAATGTTTGATAACTGTGAATATAACGTTTTCACTCCTCTGTCAGCTCTTAAGATGATTCTTAAGTGTAATTCTTACCCACCCCTACAACAGAACTTAGGTTGTCATGATATTTCCTCCTTACCCTCAGTGTGTGAGAAGCTGTCATCTGTCAGTTTCCACTGGACCAGTACTCCTATGAGGCTGAGAGCCGGCCAGATGCCCAGAATGACCCAGCTGTACCAGCAGAGAGGTGGCCCGGGTGTGAGGCGCAAGCATTCATACACATGCATGGCCAAAGCCAGCATCTCCACAAAGTAATCAGCACACACTGTCATGATAGCTGCCCCGAACACAGCCGTGGACAGCATGGTGAAGAGCTTTTGCCACTGCAGCGTCAGCACGGCAAACAGCATGCCTGTCCCCAGGAGTGTGCCCAGTGGGACCCAGACTGTGGTTGGAGTGTAGAACTGGTGAGTGACCAGCAGGGCGGCGAGAGCCAGGAGGAGACCCAGCAGCAGGCCGGTCATGAAGAGGCCGACACTCCGCACCAGCATAGTGACCAGACCGCACAGCAGGCCTATGCCGAGGCCGATACCCGCGCTGGCCTCCACGCTCAGCTGAGTGTCCAGCACATGCTCCTTGTGGCACAGCAAGAAGATGATGACAGAGCCAAACATCAGACCAGACAGGAACATGACGGCCTTGAAACAGCGGTAACCTAGAAGAGGAGAGACGATGTCAGATTTCCACCGAGAAGCAGAAGATGCCTACTGGAACCAAGCTGCAGAGGAAATCAGTATCATCAAGTGAAAGCACGGATTTATCCAACTTGATTTGAGATATTTAAAGATTGCACTGTGGAGGTAAGTTTACAGTCACATATGAAATCTGGACGGTGTGTTATATCATCCCAAAAAGCCTCGTTTTAACCTCACGTCAAGGTTTGTGTGAGCCGGCAGAGATCCTCACCAAAGAAGCAGTAGATGATGCCGAACAGGCAACACATGGAGCAGATGACGGCAGGGATGACGTCATACTTCCTCTCTATCTCCAAACTGCAGGCGTCGACGTCGGCCATGCCTGCCCCGGCCCCTTCAGAGCTCAGCCCAGTAGGATCCGCCATTCTGGGTGAACGTGGGAGACTGAAATTCGGGATGAGGGTAGAACTTGTGGTGGTGTTATCTCAAGTCCATCTGAACAGGTGTGGTGCTGCAAGAGAACAGAAATTATAGAGATTATATTAAAGTGTGTGGTTGAATCTTTATAGGGAAAATGAAATAGTTATATCCTGATAAACTGAAGTACTCCAGAGGTAAATGTGAAGTGTGAAATCTTCAGGTCAACTGTGACTCTTTCCGAGCTGCTCTGTATGTGCAGCTGTCACTCACTCAACACACAAAGCTATGCAACGCAGTGCAACCCTGCGTGCTTCGGGCATACACACAAGCAGCTCATTCACTCACTATAATCCATGAGCCAGGACCCCTGTGGAGCTCTGCTCCCCCCGAATCATTAGGGTCATGAACTCACGAGTGGTCGGTCATCTGAGGAGAGTAAATGGTTTTACTTTATCAGTTTCTAACACAATTACAATAATCTGGTTTTAACTGTCCTTACATGGAAAGGAGAAAACAGTCAAGCACTGTTTTCTCTTTATAATTTACTAACTTTGGTTTCATGTTAAATAAGCTGTTTTTTATTTTTAAGTTTTATTTAAGTTTATCTTCATAACCTACTTGTCTGTGTGTATGTGTGTTACGTGGATCTCAACAGACAGCAACAAAGTAGTCTAAACACGTATACGCCGTCTGATCTAATCGTATTCAAAATAAAGCTTAAAAACATTTTGTCTGGTACATTTTTCCGTCACCTACTTTGTCATTTCTGAGACTCGCACCAACTACCACTCTTGAAAAATGATGATGGTATTTAGGCTGGCAGGCCCGTAGAGAGCCACAGAGGGCTGCAGTGGGGCTGAAGACTTCTGGGTGGACTCCTTCTGAGGCTGCTGGCAGGCCTCCTGAATGATCTCACCACAGCTGAGATCCGATTACAGCTAACTCACGTTTTCTACTTGAGACAAACAGCCAGGAACAGTCGGTCCTGCTCTTATTCTTTGCCCCTTGCCAGACCTTTCTCTCTCCGCCACCTCTCCTTCTTCACCTGGAACTTTCCCTAACTTAAATCTATTTTCTGAACACTGAAACGGGCCTCGTTCGTTTCGCCTGTTTCAGACACACGGTGTGTAATTTGTATGTCCTGCCTATGAATGACTTTACATGGAAAAAATGAGAGCCTGCTGGAAAGTTTTCTTTTCTTCTTTAGTCACTCGCCTTTCTTCAGTACCTATCTCTCTCTTCTGCTTTCCATCAGTGACGACTACAATGTGTCTTTCTTTTTTCTTATTAGGAGAATTTAGGAGAAATGTGTCCAGTATTTGTCCAGTTTATGTCTGGAGACAACAGTCTGGTGTTGCTTTAGGAGGATATGTGTAAATAGCTGACATATGTACAGAGAGAGATAATGTGGGATCATTTAAAAGTACACACAGGTTGTGGGCAGCATGACGGCTCAGTGGTTAGCTCTGTCGCCTTAAGCAAAGGGGTTTTGAATGACGGCTGGCTCAGGGTTGAGACACTTAAGACTTTCTAGCTTCCTCTGCCTGACAAGCAGCTCCGTGTGACCCCTGAACAGGATAAGAGGTTAGAAGAGGCAGGAACCTCATTGTTACGGGCTTTTGTTTTGCTCTTTGGTCTCGTTACTGTGGTCTGCCTCTGCATGTTGGTGTTGACTCAGTCATATGAGAAGACCAGTAACAAACAATGCAGAACTGTTAAAAAATGAACCGACAAACTTCAGCAGACCAAGTTTCTGACATAAAGTAAAAATCAAACTAACTGTGGTTGACTGCCTTTGGTTTGGCCCAGAGTATCTGACCCCAGTTGGCATCTGTTTAAGACATGAATGCAGCATGAGGCCACCTGGTTGGTTTGGTTATGAGACACCTGCACCGGCCAACTTCCTGTCATTTGTAAAGCTTGTTGTGACTGAATCCACTCTGAAGCCT